GGGGGGCACAGAGCCTTACATTGTCATAGAGTGGCCGAAGTGCCTCAGCCAGCCTGGGGGCAGTGGAGATGATTGCCCAAATGTCTTCACCCCGGAGCACAGTCAGGAACACGGAGAGCGTCATCCTGATCAGCTCCCCGTCTGCATGGTGCAGCAGCTCCAGGAGGCTTTCAGAAAGGCTGCAGATGCTTTCGGCCTGCGTGGAACACGGTGCTGTGCTGTCAAGCCCTGAACAGCTGCCCCACCAGCAGCTCTCTGATGGTGCAACCCCACCCTCCTGCCCCAGAGGCCAAAGGCCTGTCCCACAGGGCCCCAGTAGCTGAACAGGAGAGCTGGAAGCAGCAGCCACAGCTCCCAAAGCCCAGCCAAGGCCAAGAGACTGCGTTCCCAGTGCCAGTGTGGCTTCAGCCGGCTGTGCCCTTCTCACCATTGAGGGATCCACAGCGAGCACCAGGAGGCCTCTCAGAGCCAGGCGCTGCCTCTCTGAGCACTCGCTCTGCAGGTTCCTTGACAGGATCGGCAGGACCCTGTCACGACATTGACTCCAGTCCAGGTAGTCCAGGACCTGGAAGGCAGAGAGCAGTGATGGGTGCCCGGGTGGCAGGAGCCCGGAGCCGCCCAGGGCTGTGCCCAGGCAGCAGCACAGGGCGCAGGCACCGTCCCGGCAGCAGATGCCAGAGGGCAGAGAGGGGCAGGCAGACGAGGCAGCGCTCGCCATCAGGCTCACCTCGACAAGGAGGGCCAGGGCAGGCAGCTCCCAACGGGGGTCCTCAGTACTGAGCAGCCCCAGCAGGTGGATTGCCATGCGGGAATAGAAAGGGAGCAAGACGTGGCGCATCTCCCTGTCAGGGAGAAAAAGGAACCATGAACCCTGAGCAGGGTGGGCAAAGCTCTCCTCGCAGGCTCTGTGCGGTGTTCCATGCCCAGGGCAGAGATGAGGGAGGCAGCGGGGACAAGGGTGTCTCACCTGCCAGCAGCCCCACTGCGTAGTGCTGGGTGCCAGCACAGAGGAGCGTGTCCCAGCCACGCTTGCGCTCCAGTGACACCACCTCATTGACCCACTGCAGGCGGCAGAGCAGGGCCTTGATGGTCTGTACCAGAAACCTGTGTGCAGAGCAAAGCCAAGGTCATGCTGGGAGCACTGGCCACAGCCCCGAGGGCATGGGAGGGAGAGAGGACTGGGATGGAGCACCTGTTGGGGTCACTGGGAAGGCGATGTTGCTCCTGACATCCCCTCCAGAACGTGTTCACCTCCTCTGGCACCTGCTCTGTGCTCATGGACACTTGGAAGAGCAGAGCCACGAGCAGGTGGGGGACACAGTCCATCACTGCATCCTGGCACTCGGGCTCCTGCAGGATCAGCCACAAGGCCAGGGTTGCCTGCAATCAAACCACACGGAGACAGTGCTCAGTGTGAGATGCCCATTTCGCAGGGCCTGAGAGTGGGAGGGAGAAACCAGAGCAGACCCAGGGGGAGCAGCCGGCCTGGTGCCCCTGAACCTGCTCCTCAGCCACATGTGCAGCCCAGCGCCTGAGGCAGGGGGATGCAGTGGTGGGCAGGTGACGTGGGGAGGAGCAGAGACCACTTATAAAAACTCACAGCCAGGGCAAACACGTCTCTGTTGTCACCATCGGAGGTGGAAATGTTGTGTGCCGGCCAATCCACCATCACTCGCAGCAGTGTTGGCAGCACCTTCTCCACTGCTGTTCCCGAGGAGGCAATGCTCTTCCACATCATGGCAGAGGCTCTGTGGAGACACAGCTCTGGGTCAGGGGGATCTCAGCCAAGGCACCATGGCCTGGACAGCTGTGGGGGCCCAGGTGACAGAGCCACAGTGCCTTGAGAGGCACGGAGGGCACGTGGCAGCAGGATCAGGGGCTGACAGGCCAGGGTTGGGAAATAAAGGAGCCAGAGGGTCTTGGAACTTGGAACTGGCAGACCACATGGGACAGGCTCTACACGGTGATCGGTTCTAAGGGCTGGTGAGCTCTGAGCTACCAAGGCAGATGGGCCCTGTACCTGTCACACTCTGGGGCACAGCGCAGCAGAGTCATCACAACATCACACGGGTGTGCCTTAGCAAGCCTCTGGATCTTCCCCTGCATCCTGACATTTGGAGGCCCGTGGACGGTGAGGAGCTTGTGGATGGATCTCACGATGGTGGGCACCTGGAGAGGCAGTGGGAGAGAGTTGGAGAGCTGCCAGAGTGAGCAGGTTGCCCAGCTTCTGTGAGACCATGTTGAAGAAGGGGGAAAAAGTTACTGCACAGAAGAAAATTGCAGCCAGGGAAGAAGATGTGAACCACAAGTGCTCACCTCTGCCACGCACTGGTGCTCGTCATACTCCATGAAGAACCACAGCACCAGGGTCTGGTGCATGTCCATCGCCAAGGCCCATGTTCCCCCTTCCACCAGTGCCTCCATCACCCTCCGGAATAAGCCAAAGGATGAGAGCTGCTCGTGGGTGCAAAAGAGGAGAAAAAGACCTCAGCACTGCCTGCTCCAGGCACACCAGGCACACCAGGCACAGGCCTGAAAATCCACAAGGCACAAAGTCTCCTGGCAGCACCCAGTGCCCGTGGCTGGGGGGCACAGAGCCTTACCTTCTCAAAGAGAGGCCGGAGAGCCTCAGCCAGCTTGGGGGCAGTGGAGAGGATCGCCTGAATGTCTTCACCCTGCAGCTCATTCACCAGCACAGAGAGGGTCACCACCATCACGTCTCCATCTGCGTCAGGCAGCAGCTCCAGGAGGTGTTGAGACAGGCTGCAGATGCTTTTTGCCTGTGTGGAACACGGTGCTGTGCTGTAACACCCCAAACAGCTGCCCACCAACAGCTCCCTGGTGGTGCAACCCCACCCTGCTGCCCCGGGACCCAGAGGCCAAAGGCCCCACAGGGCCCCTGTAGCTGAAGAGGGAGGCAGGAGAGCTGGGAGCAGCAGCCACAGCTCCCAAAGCTCAGCCAAGGCCAAGGGACTGCGTTCCCCCACCCCACACTGCCTGTGTGGCTTCAGCCGGGTGTGCCCTTCTCACCATTGACAGATCCATCCACAGCACCATGCGGCCTCTCAGAGCCAGGCGACGTCTCTCTGGGCACTCGCTCTGCAGGTGCCTCGACAGGATCTGCTGGACACTGCCGTGACATTCTCTCCCGTCCAGATAGTCCAGAACCTGGAAGGCAGAGGGCAGTG